TGACACTGATGTCTACTAGTACTAGGTACGCATGGTTAAGAGCTGGGCTCGTGCCTTGGGCTCAGGCCAAGCCCGGCACGACATGGCACAGCCCCAGCCTGTCCCGTCAACATTGGGTGCTCCAGTTTTCTCCAGCTTATTGAGCATATTCAAAGGGTGGGTGGAAGACCTACTGCTCATCACTTGCATTTTGTTCTTGGGCATGCGGCCTTTCCACCTTAACAGTAGTAGCACATGGACCCTGGATGCAAGGGCCTCTGATGGCTGCAGTTCGGGGTGGGGCCAGCCCATCCCAGCCAGCTTTGATGCCGTTGCAGGTCCAGTCCCGGCCAGCCTTGCTTTGTGGGCTGAGCCAGAGCCAGTTTCTCCAGATCGTGCAAGTGCTATGGAAACTCGTTCGTGCCTGTCGATAGAATGGTCCGGCCGTCTGTCCAAACACGCCTTAGTGTGTTTGCACCTGTACGTACTTCATGCATGGATACATACGTCCATGTAGGTAGACATAGCTTGCATAACATCCATAACAACATGCAAACATCCATTGCACTCTTGTCACTACATTTGCTCAATTTTCCATTGACAGCGTTACCTTGTCTCGTTCTCAATCTTCTTTCTCCGCCTCCTGCCAGATACCTGAGGTACAATCAGCTATCGGGGTCAATAGACCCGCTCTGCAATCTGTCACAACTCAAACACATGTGAGTTCTTGTTTCCAGCAAATGCTAACTTGATAAAGGCAAGTCTCACTCACAAATATCACCTTGTTGTGGTGATGGAAGTTAAGGGAAGGACATTGTGGTTGCGCACAAACAAATTGTTCTAGTTGAAATTCCTTGTAAGAATTATGAAAGCATTTAAACCCGCCTAAATCAGTATTTCGCATGAACATTCCACCTGGTCGGGTCGGGTCCCGGGACTGGTCAGATGACTGACATTATGGACTCGAAGGTAATATTTTGCATATGTTAACTCAGTTCGGGTCTACCCATGACCCAAAAAACTACTGAAGGGTTCGTGTAATAGCGGCCCATGGGGACGGGTCGGCCATTGAAATCGCCAGTCCGCATGGATCAGCAATCAGCTATTCGGGAGAAAGATCGAAGAAGGATCCTCTAGATAGGTTATCAAAATCAACCACGCTTCTAGCATCAATGCTATACTCAATGCGAATATGCGAGCAGTATTGAGTTGAACTCAAGTATGTGTTATATTGTTTTCCCATTTTCACCCTCTTGCAAGCTGCTTCTTACTAGTCCACACTTCTCAACTTAAATTGAAGACGAGTCAAGAGCCAAGACTGTGAAGCCCGGTGTTAACACATCGAGATGTATTAACACACGATTTTGGAAAGTCGTAGTTTTCCCGTAATTAGAATTTGTCATGCACTGTGGGCGGCTACAATGACTCTAGGGCTGATACAGTTATGTTGAAGCATTTCCTGAAAATTACAGAATTTAAGTAGACCTGTGGGCCAAATGGCAATGTAATTGTATATTTCTGTTGTGTGACCTGTGGGCCAAATGGCAATGTGGTTTTAGGACTTTGGAAACCCGATATGGCATTCTGATTTCTGCATTGGATCGCATATTGCTTCTGTGTGGCCAAAGACTAGAGACAGTGTCGTGGCAGCACTACTGGTTTTGTATTCAACCTTCTATTTGGCCAGCTTTGGCATGCAACCCCTTTTTTTGTGAGAACAGAGGTATGCTCAAGCTCAACTGCACAATCAGGCATCCTCTTCTTGATGTGTGCCCTCTCTCCCTGCATTCTTCAGGGATCTTTCAAGTAACTTTTTTAACAGTTCTCTGCCCAACAAATGTAGCAAACTTTCGCTCCTCACTCACATGTGAGTCACACGTCTCATGTGTCTTTTTCTCTGTTCCCTTACCTCTCCTGCCCGCCCCAACCCTTCGTTATACTCTTGTAGTGTGGTCTCTGCTATTTCCTCCTTGTTTTCCCTACTTACATTTTATGTCTGGAATGAAGAGCTTACTTGCACGTAGAGTCTCATTTACACTCACTCAGACATATTAAGTGTTGTAGTGTCATCATTCATCCTCCCTCATCTCACCGCTGCACAAACAGGCAGATCGATGGGAACCAAATTTCGGGAAGCATCCCTGTTTCCTTTGGACAAATGGCTTCGTTGGAAGTGCTGTACGTCGGCAGCTGTATTTATTTTAAACATTCCCCGCATTGTAAGCAGTTGGCAAACAATTGCCAAGAGGTATTGCGCACATCTTAAGTGTAGACACAATCCATTCTGCTTGAATGATCCAGCAGCATGTTCATTGAGATGACATCCCTTAGGTTTCTCGTAATGTGTCAATGATGCACCATGTTTTTTTATAAATCTTGGATGTCGTTCGTCCCGCCTTTCTATCGTTCTCAAACGCAGTAACTTAAGCTACAACTTGCTGACTGGCACCATACCCGATTCCTTCAGCCTCATGCAGAGCCTCACATCCCTGTGCGTATCCTACCATGCAACACAAGTATCCATCTAGTGCGTTGCTAGCAACGTGTCACTGAATCGCTGTTGGTTATACACAAGCAAAGGTCAAACTCAAGCCGGCCTGGTTGGAAGAGTGGCAATGCACGAAGAAAAGGGCAGCAACGGCAAGGGGCAAACATTAGCTCGGGTGGAGGGCTACGTGCAGGATTAAGATCATCAGAACTGAGCAGCAGAATTGCAGTGAGGTCTCTTGCAGAGGTAAAGATGGTAAGGACCTAGTGGGAAGAATGGAGAGCACAGAAGCAAAGAGGGTGACAGCAGCTTGCGGATGGCAGCAGGATGACTGCCACAGCAGCAACAGGAGTGTTGCTGATGGCCACGGAACGACTTAGGTTCTGTAGGAGTCCACTGAAGAGGCACTACAGCTTCCCTGCTAGAAATCTTACAGTTTTATCCGGCCAGAGATAGAATAGAGACGGGGTTACACAGCTAAGCTCACAGGTGATAAGAGTATGGAGGCATCAATAGAGGTGTAGTGGAACGGACTCTGCATTCAGCTATGCGTTGCATGTTCTTATACCCTCTCCGTGCCTCTCTCATGCCATCCCTCAACCGTTTCAATCACGTGTGCTCATCGTCGGTTTTCCCAGAAAACTGGCAAGCAATCAGCTAAGCGGTTCCATCCCGAGCTCTCTTGGGGCCATGACGTCTCTCGTTCAACTGTGAGCCTGCTTGGTTAACATCACATGGTGCTTTCTATGGTCGCTTTATAAAACCAGCTTTGAGTGGTCTATTGAGGCCCAGCTTTCATCACGATTCCCATTGTGGGTTTTTTTTTCTGTAAACTGGGCCATTGGATTCCATCTTTTTGGGAAGCTATAAGTGTGGGAGGATAGGACAATGAGGCCAGCCCCTCGTTGCTAATCAACCCCTCAGGCCAGACTATCACCCTGCCTTTTCATTGCCACACGAGATGACAGCTGCTTGCCGACTTCTTTTGTCCGTCCAGCTCATTCGCACAAGTATCTCCTCAAGTCTCCACCAAGCATCCTTCCTTCCTTCGCCATTTTCTCTTGGTTTCTGATCACAACACAATGTCTTCAGGCTCAACGTATCCGTTCCTGTTCTAGCATTTGCTATGTTATGTTTGTTGCGCTTACAGACACAATGCAGCCCTTCATAGCTTCTCAATGCCAGTGGAGTGTTTGCTCTCACCAACAGTTTCAGAACACATGCCTGCCTCTTCCTTCCATATTCATACTCCGTCACTCCTTCAAACTTCTACAGTGTCACTTACCCCTAAATTATGTGTTTGGTGTGTGTGCTCCTGTTCCGAAGGTATTTTCGTCAGAACCTTTTGACTGGCTCAATCCCAGCATCACTAACATCTCTGCAGCACCTTGGTTCCCTGTGAGTGAGAGTGCAATGAATGCTTTCATGCCGTTGTAGGAAAATGGAATGCCAATCAGCTCACCATGGCCCCACTACCCTATCCTATTCCGTTTGGTGCGTGGCTGCTCTTTGAAATCGGATTGACGGAACGCGGTGCATATACTTCATGTCTTTGGGGAGAAGCAATATGTGCAGATTCACATCCTTCAACCCTTTCAGTTGGGTGAGGTACTTAGCAAAACACTGATGGATAAGATCATATGAGCAGTGATGACATCGTTTCTGGGCCTCGCTTGGCTGCTGACTCGCGCGCTTTGTCAATGCCGTTGGATGTGCTGTGATGTGGTGCTGTTGCAGATGCTTCACAAAAGATGAAGAAATTGTTTCTCCGTGTTCCACACTATTCTCACCTTAGATTGCTTGACTACAACCATCTAACAGGGAGCATCCCTGCTGCTTTGGCTGATCTACCCTTGTACTACCTGTAAGCCATGCACACCGCTTTTCCTTCACCGAACACAGGAAGGGCGTTATCTCGTTCCCAACAAATAGCCGTTTTTTAGCAACATGCTCAAGAACTGCGCATCCTAGTCCCGACAATTTTCTTCTTGCTGCCTCCTCCTTCAGTGCATTACCTTCACCCTCTGGCACCTTGGTGTTGGCAGGTCGACAGCATCCAACCCCACATCCGGATCCATACCCACAGCCTTTGGCAAGCTCACCAACATGCTTGCTATGTATGGCTGAACCAGCTGCCTGCAGTGTGATGTCATCCTGTTGCAGCACAGTACTGCAAAGGCATACAGTAGATGTATATGTGTTGTGTTGCATCACTAACTTAATGACCTCAGCTCCTCACCAGTTTGATTTCACTCTTGTGTTCTCCACACCACTTGAGCAGTGACTTATCAAGCAATCAGTTGCATGGGTCAATTCCGAGCACCCTCAGCAACCTTTCCAAAATTCGAGCCCTGTATTTTTCTACCACCAATATATAAATGAAATACCCTCGACCGCTGCTTTTCTCACTGCATTTCTCTTTCATGATTCTTTTTGTCCTCTTGCTCGCTCGTTCCATGTCCTCTGCTCCCATCACCTTCCAAGCTATGTTGCTCCCATCACCTTGCATGCTATGTTGCTCCCATCACCTTGCATGCTATGTTGCTCCCATCACCTTGCATGCTATGTTGCTCCCATCGCCTTGCATGCTATGTTGGTGAGTGTGCCTCCTGCTGCTTGCACTCTCTCGTGTGTGCGAGCTGCTCAGCTCACTGGCCTTCAACCAGCTCTCAGGCCCCGTGGATCACATTCTGCACGGCATGCGAAACCTCTCCTTGCTGTGAGTATTACCATGCAGCAGCAGCAGCAGCAGCAGCAGCAGCAGCAGCAGCCGGCCTGCATCTGGTATTCCCTGCTCTCTCGGCTTCATTCGTCCATCCTTCCAGTTGTCTCTGAAGTACACCTTCTGTGTGTCACACGTGCAGGTTCCTACTACAGAACCACTTCTCCGGTGGTCTACCCAGCCCTGCTCCTTCGAGCCTGGTGCAGTATTGGGTGAACGATAACTTCTTCACACACGGCCAAGTCACGTTCCCCAACTGCTCTGCGGCCCTTTTCAGCACCAAGACTAATTGCCTCGCTGCTTCCCACACCATCTGTGGCCGCACTTTCACCCAGAGGCCAGCTGCTGGCTGCTCTGCATTCTGTGGAGTGGAGGTCGGCGTTGCTCGTCCTGTGTGTGGGGGCCATGGCTACTGCGCCGTGAATCCCTTCGTGGGAGCAGGGGAGTGTGTATGCGACCCCAACTACATGCGCAACAGCAGCGATAGCTTGGCCTGTGTGCCTGGAGGTGTGTTTTTGGAAGTGCAACCCATGACAGCATTTTTCCTAGCTAACTCACGCGTAAGCATGCGGCCTGAAACTTGTTTCAGCATCTTTGCCGTTGCAGCATAACTTACTGATACTCAGGTGCTGTTTACTTGCCTGCTTCCCTTGCACCTGCAGCCGTAGGAGCATCACTGGCATCAGGCTCGGCCTATGTGTCGCTGCAGGGCTCAGCTGCTGTGCTTTCCAACGGCTCCATTCTTCTCACAGGAGGGGCGCCCAACCAGCAGGGAGCAGCGTTTGCCTCTCCCGCGCTGCGCCTCTTCTACTTCCCCAACAAGCGCTCCCTCTGCGGAATTGAGCTCGCATTCACCGCTGCCTTCAGCTTTGCCATGCGCCCACCGGGCCAGGGGGCAGGTGGGGAGGGCCTTGCGTTTGTGGTGGCAGCAGCTGCTTCTGGCAAGGGGGCGAGTGTGGGGCTGGGAGGGGTGGGGAAGCGGAGTGTGGCGGTGGAGTTTGACTCGGTGCTGAGTGTGAAGCACAGCGACCCCAACGACAACCACGTGGGCGTCAATGTGGGCGGCTCACCTGTGTCCCTCGCCTCTGCCACGGCCCCTCTCATCCTCAACGACGGCCACACCAAGCACGCCTGGATCCACTACGACCCCACCAGCGGCGGCACTCTCCGAGTTTTCCTCTCCTCGGAACCCGACGAGCCCTTCGCCCCCACCCTCACAGCAAGCGTGTCTCTCTGCTCCGTTCTCAAGCCCACTGCATCCGACTCTCTCTTCCTTTTTGGTTTTGTTGCTTTCTCGAGCAGCCAGCCGCAGATGCACACCATTGTTTCCTGGACCTTCAACACAGGTGCGTTATTGTTCTCCATTCATGCAAGTCCAGTCATTCACACGGTGATCCTTCCTGTAGTCATGCTTTAGGCTTTCTACCAGTTGCTTGCTTTCATTGCTAATCTAAATTTATCGTTCACGTGTCTTAGCAATCCCCGCACGATTTGTGACGTACACGATGCGATATATTTTACGTGTGCAGCATTCAATCTACTTTTAACTGTTTGTATCGCACATTGCTCGCTTCTTTCTTATCCCTTTTTGAACAGGTGTTTGATCTTGACATTTCAGCACGGTGATCTTTATGGGCGATGCACATTCAGCTGCTCCTTTATATCACAGTCAAGCAAGGGCATGTGCATATCCTCTTAGCAAATCAAGTCACTTGCAAATCATAAATTCTCGTAGCACTAGCCTTTAATACGGTAACAAATTCTATTACGATTGTCTGTATGTACTGGGTGGCATGAGTTTGAGTGCACTTTGAACTGGCTTGAACTGACTTGCCATGCATGTCCCTCCTCCAGTCCAGGTACTCCCAGCAAGTGGTAATGATACCATGAGCTGCACGCACTTAGGTTCTTGAAAATCCTAAATAAACCATCCAGCTCCTGAACTGAACAGGGTGAGATGTGCACACTGGCACCACTCCGTCTCTACTCCTCTTCCCGTGTCATGCTTCCTGTCCTCCTCCGTGCTCTCTCCCTCCCCAACCAGGTACGTCCAGTAGGTGGTTTCAGAGTGGTTCACTTCGCTTTTTCTTGAAAACACCAAACCCTCCTCCCCTCGTTCCCCCTTTTTGTTGAAAGTATAAACTTGACATTATAGGTTGTTAAATTTCAGTGGTGTTATCCTTGTTATAGGGCTCCAATCCAACCCTAGTCCTTGCAAATCTTGTACGGTAAGACATAAAATATTCGTGTCGATAAGTTCTTGACTCCAGTATTGCCGCTTACATATGTTACGATAAGTGAATCTTGATTACGTTACATTCACGTTCGTGACAAGACACCAACACAAGCGGGTACAAAGGGTGAACGGCCAAGGTTATGCGAAATGCCGCGCACAGTTGGTAGGATCTGGACCGTTAACGGGAGACACATCGGGCAGCTACGTCGCCAAGGAATTTGGTGGGAACAGGTCCGTAACCGGTTATGTTGCACGTTTGAAATGCGCCACAATACTGGAATATACCGTCTGGCCCCGGATAGTAGCGCATATGCGCTTATAATAAAACAACAAATTTAGGGGGGGCGCTTGTAATTGAATAACGACCATAAGCGCCGATGCTTTTATAATGACAAATATGAAAATATATATTTAGAGCACCAAATCGTTCATTTCCTTCTTGCCATTTCAACCTAATTGAAATGTTTTAGCGTCACAAAGCAGAATCCCGCGCAAGTGATATTCTGGGTTCACACACAGGCAAAGACACGTCATGCGAGCACATCCTGACTGGACGCGCAGCTAGTCAGGTCTTCGCGAGTCAAACGAAATGAGATTGAAATTAGATTCGCTCCAAAAATGAATTTCGTTTCCGTTTTAAGAAATAATTTAAACTTAAATTTGCAAGTGCACTTATAATAAGTAAAGTTTTTCTAAAGGGGGGCACTTATAATTGATGACCAGCCATAAGCGCCATGCTCTAGATATAAGCGCCGGCGCCTTTAATAGGACGACGCCTATATCCGGGGCCATACGTGTTATGTAATGCTATTATTTGTATTCGCGTCTGTCTCCCATCATATGTTCGTGCGTTGCATGCGTGGTGTCAGCGTATGCACGAATTTGTGTTTGGTGTGGTTAGGATTTTCTGAGTGTGTGGCCGCGATACGGCCCCGCAAACCTTCTCCCTCGACACAAATGCATCAACGCCCAAAGTCCCTTAGCTTAGTCCAAATTCCTCAACTTTCCAATAATTAATGTGATAGAATTACGCTGACTATCAAGGTTCTAGCAGGTGGGCAATGTAATACTGAGACAACAAGATTTCTAAAAGAGAGACGTCTGCAAGAAGGGTACAGTCCAGGAGCGACTGAAGGCAAAACGAGTCACGGAACACTGTGGAGGATGCGAAGGCAGTGGGTTGAGTTTGAGGTGTGGAATGCGGTGTAGGTGTGTGCTCTGTACATAACTGTGGCATGTCAGATGGGAGTGAGAATGAGTGTGAAATGCATATGTTTCTTTTCATTGTGTCTCTGCAGAACTGTAGCAAGGTGCTGGAAAGGAGGATACGTGCAGCCAACCGCCAGCTGGTGACCCAAGCATAGGGGCATGCGTGAGCCATGATAGCTGGGTTCGGCGCCCGAGCAAGTGCTCATGCAAGCACAAACCGCCAGCGACTTGTAAATAGCTTCGGGCGCCCCCGAACCTCGACACTGTGTGATGTATGTTTGTTTGTAGTGTGTGTGCGCAGCAGCTGGAGCTCTGTGCTAGCCAGGCCTCTCAATGTACATAGGAAGTGCCTAGTGTTAGACCTCGCTGCTTCTTTATTTTTTTTCTGCATTTCTCGTAATGGATCCCGTTAAACCAAATGCAGGCCTCAAGTAAGCGGAAGCCAAACAGCTAGTCGGTTCATGGGTTACTGAGCTTTTTCAACAAACAAAGAAGAAGAGGCCAAATCTGCGATGGAGGGAGTGCGGATGCAGCTTAGATCTGGCAACCTGTACGAACCTGCGGTCGAGCCTGAACCGATGGCAACTCCAAGTTGGAGGGTCGGAGAAGTGACGGGAACTGAAGGCGGAGCACGAACTCCGTTGTCGGGGGTTGCGCCATGCAGGGAACCTTACACGGCGCCGCATTGGAGGCACAGCATGAGCGACCTGCCGAGCGGAGGCAGCGGGGGACAAGGAGGACCCTCGGAACAACCACTCGCGGAAGTGGTGGCGGCAGGAAGCACGTCACTGCCCGAAGGAAATCAGGAGACAGGCATTGCCGCGACGGGCCAGTTGGCGCAGACACGGAGGATCTCAATGTCAGAACATCATCCTATGAAAGTCACGCACTCATCGATCCTCTACACAGCACTGCCCAAGATTGAGGTACAAGAACGATTCGCGGGCACGCCGGGCATGGGGAGCTCACTGCGGAACTACATGATGCAGATCCGGAACGCGCAATACCGCTGGGTGAAGGACCGGCTGGAGCCAGATGACTTCTTTCGCAGTCTATCCAACACCGTGACAAGAGAAGCTGAAACAGCCTAAGGATTGGAGTTGGAACGCCTGCTTAGCGAGGACGGACAGATGAGGAGAATTACATGGGAGGCAGTGCCGAACTTTTTCGAGATGCTGCGACGGCACTTCCCGGTGCAGACGTCCCAGCGCAGGTGAGAGTTCACCATATTCTGTTGACGGGAGGGTGAATCACTTCTGGCCTGCTACGGTAGGCTGCGCGTGCTGGCCTCGGACCTGGAGTGCCGCGACGAAAGAAGGCTGGTCACCAAGTTCCTCACGAGCCTCATCAAGGAACTCGCGACGGGGAAGGATTTTCAAAATGGGCTCCGCAACCACGCTGAAGCAAGCCTACGAATTGGCGAAGAAACACGAGCTAGGGATGCGCTTGGATGACATGGAAAGGGGCGAGTTGCCGCCGGAGGATCGCAGGAGGTCAGCTTGGATGGCAGCGCCGCCAGGGAAACCCTCGTTCCGGAAAGGAGAGCGGGAAGGATGTGCTGGTGGTTTTTTCGAACGCGCAATGTCAGGCATGGAGGGTCAAGGCGACAATTACGCGACGACGAGCGACATCGCAAGCCTCCACACCGACATGGAGCAGACGCAGGCGGCGATCCGACGACTCGAGGCCCTTCTGACACACCAACCAGGAGCCGCCACCGCAGCAGCAGCGAACGTACCAGCGACAACACGAGCGGGAAGGATGTGCTGGTGGTTTTTTCGAACGCGCAATGTCAGGCATGGAGGGTCAAGGCGACAATTACGCGACGACGAGCGACATCGCAAGCCTCCACACCGACATGGAGCAGACGCAGGCGGCGATCCGACGACTCGAGGCCCTTCTGACACACCAACCAGGAGCCGCCACCGCAGCAGCAGCGAACGTACCAGCGACAACACCAGCAGCAGTGGCAACACCGACATTTCACGGACCGATGGCACCACTGCCGCCGAACCTCGAAGCAGCACGCCCGAGGCTCCCTGAAGCGTTCGATCCCAGCGCGAAAGGATCTGACGTTCGACGATTCGTGGCGATTCGTGAAATTTATTTCGAGGCCATTGGCTGTTCGACCCCGACACACGACGCAGCACGGATTCGGCTCGCAGCGACACTATTACGTGGACCGGCATTAGAGTGGATTTACTACACTGACGTGGCCCGCGGGGAGAAAACGTGGCAGCAGTTTCGGGCAGACCTCATCGAAAGTTTCGAGCCAATTAATACGACCTACATGGCGCGGCAGCAGATACACCGTCACAAACAGTACAGTAGTGTAGCACAGTACACGCAGCAGATGGAGCTACTGTTCAACCGCATCACTAACCTGACCGAAGGCGAAAAAATCCAGGCGTACACAGAAGGGTTAAAATTGGAGATTCGCCGGCAGGTGATCGCAGCGAATTACAACAGTTACCGCGACGTCGTGCGTGCTGCCGAGCGATACGACGCATTGACTCGAGGTCAACCCGAAACACGACGTTTTGCGCCGAACCGTACATTCGGCACGGAGCGATCGGCACCCCCCACGTTTGTCGAACCGATGGACATCGACAAATACGACGCGAAGCAGCAGCCGACAAAATGCGAATTTTGCGGCGCACAGGGCATCAAATTCTGTCGTGCTACAAAATGAAAAAGGCACGTGCGGCAGTGCAGGGCGGTAACAGTGGAGCAACCCCGAAGTAAAAAAACGGGAATCGCCAGTAGCTGCGGATCGACCTGGCGATCGCGTGAAGATCCAAAAAGCAGAAAAAGGCGAAGACGTGGCGACTTCGGAGCAGGTGATAAAAGGAGAAAATGATGGCGCAAATATAAAACGTCATGACCGTCCGGCAACAGGGGAAATCGCCGAGGCGAATGGAGGCTCCGAGAAAAAAAACTCTGCACCGACCGGGAAACTCCAGCCCAACACC